TCATCGTTCCACTATCGATTATATTTCTTGGGCCGCGGCCAGGCTTGCGAGGCTAAGACGCTGGGCGGACATCCCGCCTCCTCCGAACATGTCTCGGCCGCAGCCTCAGACGAGGCTCAGTCTACATGGGCACACTTTCTTCCTTTATGATGCCTCGGGTGAGGTCCGTTGCTTGCCATGCTTTGTTGGGGCTCGGACCCCCAGCGCGCTTGTGCACTTGTGTAACGGCCCCTCCAAGTTTTGCAGACCTACCGCCCTCACGGCCTTGAAAGGGCAGGAGTGGCTCCGTGTTCGTAGTCGGGCGTGGCCTGTGAAGGCTGCTGCTGTGGCTGAGGCAGACCAGGCCCTTGTGGCGACTGGCCTGCTCCCGCCTCCCCCCCCCTCCTGGAAACCCCGCGGGAAACGAGGGTGAATCGGCCATCCGTGAATTTACTGAGCTCGGTCACGCGATTGAGAGGTACGATCGCGCGATGATCTGCTCATTGTGTGCAGGCTTTGTGGTGCTTCCGCATGGCGTTCCTCGGTCGCTCCTGGCCCCTTGTCAGGGTGCGTCGAAAGTGCCTTCAACGAGGGACAAGCAGGTGCGGAAGCTTTCGAAGGCCTCGAGAGGCCTCCACCCCTCCACGGGTGAGAGGTCTGAGGAGGCTGAGCCTGCCGCCTCCTCTTCGCAGGCTCTTCTCAGCCCCACTCTCAGCCTTGTGTCGAGGGCCCTCCGTTTGGAGGAGGCAGCGTCGTCTGGGGCGGGGGAGGCTCGGGCGGAGCGGGCGGGGGTGGTCTCGGATGATTCAGACTAGCCGCCTGTTTTGCTGTTTTTGGCCTCGGCGTCGCCGTCGCCGCCTGCTGCCGCCGCTGGCGGCCGCCTTCCTGCACGTGATGGGCAGCGAGGACGCGTCAGGCGCGCCCTGCTGCTATCCGCGCGCCCTCTCTTGCTAGCCTAGGGTTGTTCGTTCCCGCGGACGACCTCTTAGTCGGCGCCCACCTCCTCCTCCTCCTCTGTCCTCCTCCTCCTCCTCCTCGTCGTCGTCCTCCTCCTCCTCCTCCTCCTTTTCATCCTCCTCCTTTTTGTCTGCCGCCCCGGCACTGGACCCCTTTAGGGTCTGGTGTCTACCTGGGCCCGGCGCGTGAGCACTTGTCCAGGCCACACGAGATGCTACCGGGCCGCTGCCGACAACTCGGCAGCATTGGCAGGGGCTGTGACTTACAGCTCCCACAGGACAGTTCCCACAGGAAACAGAAAAGACCTGGAGCAGCGTGCAAGGGCGGCCAGGCAGGGGGGAGGGAAGGGGGGAAGGGAGCCGGCGGGGGGAGAGGGGGGCGGTCGTCGGATGGTCGTGGGCGCCGTGGTGGTGCCGGCCGTAGGCGGTGGGCGTCGTGGTGGTTGTCGCTGCGGTGGTGGTTGTGATGGTCGTGGTGGTTGCCATGGTGGTCCTGGTGGACGAAGTGGTGGCCGTGTCGGGGGTGTTGTTGCCGTTGGCGGTCGCGCTGGTGGTGGTCCTGGCCCTGGTGGTCGCCCTCCTCCTCCTCGTCCTCCTCCTCCTCCTCCTCCTCCTCCTCCTCCTCCTCCTCCTTCCCCTGTCGTCCTCCTCCTCCTCCTCCTCCTCCTCCTGCTCCTGCTCCTCCTCCTCCTCCCCCGCCCACTCCCCCTCCTTCTCCTCCTCCTCCTCCTCCTCCTCCTCCGCCTCCCCTGCCTCCTCCTCTCCCTCCTCCTCCTCCTCCTCCTCCTCCTCCTCCGCCTCCTCCTCTTCCTCCTCCTCCTCCTCCTCTTCCTCCTCCTCCTCCTTCCGTAGCCATTTTGGCTCAATATGTCCTCCTTTGAGGCTGTCCAGCCTCCAGGCAAAAAGGATACCGCTAGTCCGCGGCCAGTCTTCGCCTGATGATGAGGATGCTGCTCGCGCAGAGGAGCGCTCGAGGTCTAGTCGCAACAATTCTGACGCCGATGATGAAAACGACACGGACCCTGATGGATGGGACGAGCACATCAAGGGACTCATAGACGGCCACCTGCTGAGGAACTTCCACTCCTTTAAAGAGGAGCTCGCTGGAATGGTCACAGCTCAGCTGCTGAGCAAGCGGTCGGCCCCGTCATGGCCGCGCTCAAAGCTGTGGTGGGGGCGGCCAAAAGCGTCCCCAGCACCTGCCAGCAGAACGTCGAGGCCTCTCTCCGCCCCGAGTTCGACTCCCTGGAGCGACGATTTCAAGCACAACTGGACAGTCTCAATACTCGCGTCAGCGCGATCGACTCCCGCACCGAGAAGCTCAGCGAAGAGGTCGCCTCCGTGCGGGTTGCTATGGACGAGATGTGGGAAGAATTGGCCCTCGCTAGCCACGTACCCCGTCCGCTTCAGCGTGAAGTGGACGCTACGGTGCTCAAGATTGTTGCCTCCACCACGGTCAAGCGCGTGGATGCCATCGCCTCCATCACCTCGTGGCTGGGCAAAGCAAACAGTGAAGGATGGGACGTGGTTGGAGAAGAACAATATCGGCTCTTCGGAGATTGCTGGCAAGAAAATCACTGGTGCCCTTCGTGAACACTTCCCCGACGCCTCTTTTTTGACAGGCAGAACGGGTGGACCTCCGAGAATTGGAATCCTCTTCTTCGCTCGCGACCTCAGTCTGGTCGCGATCCAACCAAGTGCTACTGTGGAGGGCGGGTGGTTTTCACCATGCACCATGCGGCTCTCGCATTAGCGCCGCGTGCATTCGTTTTAACAGTGCAAGCGTTTCACGGGGGGGGGGAGGCGGGTGGTTTTCGAAAAGTGGCGCTCGCCTTAGCGCCGCGTACGTTCATGTAAACAAATGCCAGAGTTTCACGGATTGAAGGCTGATGGTTCCCCAATCAGAGCTTGCCTCTGTAGGGGTCCCAGCGGATTCATATGATTAGGTGATGGTTGCCGCCGATGTTCTCCGCACGCCCCGGTGCCCGGGGGTGGCCTGGTACCCGGGTGCCCGGGTGCCCGGCCGTGCCCGGGGGTTCCCCGGTGCCCGGGGGTGCCCTAGAGCCTTATAGCCCAATAGCCCCATAGCCCCATAGCCCTATAGCCCTACAGCTCCATAGCTCTATAGCCCAATAGCCCCTATGGCTCAATAGCCCTATAACCCTATTGCCCTATAGCTCTATAGCCTTATACCCCTATACCCTATAGCCCTGTAGCTCTACTACCCTATAGCCCTATAGCCCACACAGCCCTATAACCCTAAAGCCTTAAACATATTATAATGTGACTGTCGCTTTAGTGCCGCGCGCACTCGTTCTTGCAAGAGATTCACGGATTGAGGGCGGCTCCTTTCCAAAATGTCGCTCTCGCCGTAGCGCCGCGCAAATTCTTAAAAGTTGCAAGAGCTTCGCGGGTTGATGGCGGTTCCTTTTTCAAAATGTTGCTATCGCTTTAGCGCCGCGCACACTCGTTCTTAAACTTTGCAAGGGGTTCACGGATTCCCATGATCAGCGTGCCAGAAATTGTGGTTTGGACGGATTCTGGAATAGCGTACAACAGTTATTTTGATTCGCCGTGTTGAAATCCCCGGAACGGCAGTCTGGCGCGATTCAGGATCGCCAAGACGCAACAGTCAGGTACGACCGTTGCGTCTGCATCCCGAGAACACTGTTTTGGCATGATTATGGGTCTTTAAGCGGTTGTCTTGCAACGAGGCAGTTCCCTCAGTGGAAATGAACCGTTGTGGAAGCCTATGAAGAGGGAGCTTAGAAGAAGGGTTTATTCCAACATCGTTGTTGACTCTTGGGTTTACACAGGTCCTTTTCTTCCTTCTCCTCCTCCTCCTCATGAAGCAACGCAAGGACGATGACAAGACGGACTTAGGCTCGTCAGCGTCTCAAGCAGTTTACTGAATTCTTCTCGTTTTGACAGAATGCCCCTTCAAGGACAATTCGGAGAGACGTTTGAAGTTGAGTTTCGGCGTTACTTGGCTGGCAGATCTCATCAAGCACGCAGGGCCCGATCAAGCAGCGCTGTGGATCACAGAGGCAGCAGTGTTTCCGACCTTCGACAAGCCAGGACAAGCGCAGAAAAGCAGACTTATATGCAATTCCCCAAGGCAGGCACTGGTGCCCGACAGCGAGGAAGATCGAATATCAGTGTTGGCCGCCATCTCAGACCCCAAGCACCCAATGCACGTTATGACACCTCTGGAGCTCCCTGTTGCCGTGATGCAAACCAAGGGACCCATAATCCAGGTTGAGGCATTGATCAGCGAGCTCGTGAGGCATGCTGGGGGGAAGACAACAGTGAGTAAGGCTCCTCGCGGCCATTTGGCCAGGAAGATTCTGCCAGAGCGCAGAGAGGTAGTTTCAGAGTTGATGGACGGGTGAATTTTTCTGCCACATCTAGCCCTGGGCGATAGTCAGCTTAACTGGCCGTAGCTCCGATCTTCCTGTTCTGGATCACCCGCCCATTCCGCGAAGATCGTCAGCCCCCAGGGGCTGCCGTTTGCACTTTTGAGTTTTCGTGCTCGGCCAAGAGGCGGCCTAAGGCCTGTACAGGCCCTGGCCAGTCCCCTGTGCAGCGACCTCTAATGTTGGTCATTTGCCGACCCTTGCAGGGTCGTGCGGTGCTCGTTTTCCGAGCCTTGCAAAGCAGAGGGTCGATCGCAACCAGTCGATATCCCTCCCAGGTTCCCGAATATTTCAAGCAAGTAGGTTGGGAGATGAACTGAATGGGCGAGAGCGAGATCCTCCTTCTTCTCCTCCTCCTCCTCCTCCTCCTCCTCCTCCTCTTCCTCCTCCTCCTCCTCCTCTTCCTCCTGCGCCGCCTCCTCGTCCTCCTCTTCCTCCTCCTCCTCTCCTCCTCCTCCTCTTCCTCCTCCTCCTCCTCCCTCCTCGATCCTCCTCCTCTTCCTCCTCCTTCCCCTCCTCCTGCTTTCTCCTCCTCCTGCTCCTCCTCCTCCTCCCTCCTCGATCCTCCTCCTCTTCCTCCTCCTTCCCCTCCTCCTGCTTCTCCTCCTCCTCCTGCTCCTCCTCCTCCTCGATCCTCCTCCCGCCGCAGGCCCCCGCGGGCGCCGAGCAGGCCCCAGCGGCCGAGGCGGGCCGCAAGCGGCACGGGGGCCCCACCGCGGCGGCTGAGGACCCGGCGGCCCAGGGCGAAGGAGGCCCCGTGGTTGCGTCCACCGCCACCACCACCACCACCGCCGCCACCACCATGACGACGACGACGACGACGACGACGACGACGACGACGACGACGACGACGACGACGACGACTTCGACGACGACGACGACGACGACGACGACGACGACGACGACGACGTGTGGGGAAGGAGGAGGGGGAGGAGGAGGAGGAGGAGGAGAAGGAGGAGGAAGAGGAGGAGGAGGAGGAGGAGGACGAGGAGGAGGCGGAGGAGGAGGAGGAGAAAGAGGCGGAAGCGGAGGAGGATGAAGAGGAAAAGGAGGAAGAGGAGGACCATTGCAAGCAAAAGACTCACCAACGTATTGCCATAGACCCTTCCTCCAAGTTCCCTCTTCATAGACCCCTACAAGGATTCATCCTCACTGAGGGAAGTGCCCCGTTGCCAGGCAAGCGTTTGAAAATCCTGAACTGCGCCAGAACACCATTCCCGGGAATTCAACGCCGCGAATCTCCGTTACTGTTGTGTCTTGACGATCCCGAATCGTACCAAAGCTCCACTCCTGGGACTTAAACACCTCGAGTCAATGTACCCGTTGCGCCCTGACAATCCGACATCGTGCCAAAACACAAGTTTTGAGGCGTTAGCCATGAGAATCCTTGAAACTGCTGTGAACTCTATGTGTGCGGCGCTAGGGCGGGAACCACAATTTGAGAACTACCCGCCCTCCATCCGTGAAGTTCTGGCCACTTGTTCAAACGAATGTGCGCGGAGGGAAGGCGAGAACCACATGTTGAAAACAACCCACCCTCCATCTGTGAAAGTGCTGCAAAGCTCAAGCTCAAGCATCATAAATGGTGAGGATTTCTCCGGCGAATCGCCCAGCCCGCCCTACTGACACGCCTCGGGGCGGCGACAGGGAGGAGTTCTTCCTTCCCCAGTTAGGCTTGCCAAAGGGGTTCTTACTTGATCGAAGGTGTCTCGGGGTGCTACTTTGCCCGTTCCACGGAGATTCCTCGGGCGCCTCTTCCTCGGATTCCTCGGGTTCCTCGGGTTCCCCGCGCAATGCCAAGCAACGCCAAGCAATACCAAGCACTGCGCCCATGCAATAGGAAGCCTTCCCCTAATTGGGGTCGCGCTGGGCTCACAAGCCATAAGGATGGTGGAGGAGGAGACAGAGGAGGAGGAGGAGGAGGAGGAGGAGGAGGAGGAGGAGGAGACGACGATGATGATGAGGAGGAGGAGGAGGAGAGGAGGAGGAGGCGGAGACGATGAGGAGGAGGAGGAGGAGGAGGAGGAGGAGAGGAGGAGGGGAGGAGGAGCGAGGAGCGAGAGCCAGGAGCGCGGAGGGGCGAGGAGCAGGAGGAGCGCGGAGCGAGGACCGAGAGCGAGGAACGAGGAGGAGCCCGACGGGCGCCCTGAGCGGCGCCGGCGGCCCCCCCCCTTGCAGGCGGCGCGCCGGCGCCAGGCTCCGCGCCGGCGCCGGGCTCTGGCAGCTCGCGGCGCGGCAGCCCCGGGACGGCAGAACCCCGCGGGGCGTTGAGGGAGGAGGAGAGGAGGAGAGGAGGAGGTGGAGGAGGTGGAAGAGAAATACGAGGAGGGAGGAGGGGGAGGAGGAGGAGGAGGAGGAGGAGGAGGAGGAGGAGGAGGAGGAGGAGGAGGAGGAGGAGGAGGACGAGGAGGAGGAGGAGGAGGACGAGGACGAGGAAAATTAGCAGGAGGAGGAAGAGGAAAAGCAATCAACAAGTGGACTCCATTCAGATCGGCCAGTCATATGCCCACCAGACGAGGAGATCAGGGCGCAGCGCTGGATACCGGAGGTACCTCTCAACAACGTGGCTGCACAAACGTATGCCAGCCTGCACACCTACGTCCGACCCTCGCAGCACAAGCAATCGCAGCACACAGCGCAGCAGCGAGAAGTGGAGACCAGCACATTCTCATCTGCAACCGACGCATCATCTTCGTCAAAAACACAGGAGACCCAACATTCCATAACTAGTACATCGACAGGCTCCGCTCACACCAGACGCGATACGAGATCTACATCAACAACCTCCACGACCGTCCAATTGGTGCACCCTTCAAAGAGCCTCCTCCCAAGCAGCTCGTGCGACTGTACAAGGCATCACCCAAGCCCAAACCTACGAGCCGAAAGACACAGGACAAACCATTGACTAAGCACGCAACGGTAGCAGCCCACCACGACATCCACCTCCAGTATTCCTACCTCATCTACTATCGCAGAAGTGCGTCAACCAAGCTTCGCTTATGCAGAGTATGCAGCCACGTATACACAAGTGTCGACTGTCCCGTTACGTTTGCTCTCACTGATGCGCCTTATACCCATTAGTTTCTGTTCCGGCGCGGTGTCCGACACGCTCGTCGCTGGTGGTTCCTCACTCTCCCAATGCAGGTTTAGGGTACGCCTCCAAAATTCTGGGTCGCAGCCTTAGTACTGCTAGTTACATGTGAGGGGCCCTGTTACAGGCCACACTCCTTTTGCAACCGCACACCGTGCGCACTTTGGGCTTCCAGCCAGGGTACGACCCCACTCAGAGAGCCAGACACTATGCCTTTAACATTGCATGTCGACCGCGTTCACGTCAACCTTACCTCTCTCTGATCCTTCATATCCCATCGATCGGGGGCGGAAAGGAGGGGGGTGATGACTAGGGGGGGGGGATATCATGGCGGGGGTCGTGATATTTCCCCAGGTTTCATGGCGCCTCTTCTTACATTTCATTACGTCCCTGGCCCCCCCGCTGGGCCGCGCACGTGCCGCCGGTCATGGTCTGCACCCCCCCCTCTTGGACACCCCCCTCTCGGCCGCTGCCGAATCGACTGATCTGCACTGCGTTGTCGCAGGCTTGGGGTCCGCCCTCAAAGCCCTGGGCCGCAGCCCAAGAAGTGCTAGTTACTTTTTAGGGGCCCTGCTCCAAGGCACCCTCCATTTCAACCAGCATACTCCTCCTCCTCCTCCTCCTCCTCCTCCTCCTCCTCCTCCTCCTCCTCCTCCTGTGTGATTTTGGGCTCCCATTGAGGGTACGACCCCACTTGAGATCTCTCAGGACAGCCCTGCACTGCGATTTGAGGGGCCAGCTATGAACACCCCCCATCTCTAGTCAGCACACTGTGCGCACATGCCAGCACACTGTGCTACCGCATCTTGTGCCAGCTGCCCGAGGCTCGCCGGGGCCAGGAGAGCCCCTTCGGTCCTTCTCTTCGGCGGCGAGCCGGGGGGGGGGGAGTCTGAAGGAGACGGCCTGCTCGGAAGGCGGCGGGACTGCTCAGAAGCCCTCCCGCCTTCTGAGAGGGTTGCTGCGACCTTCGGGGGAGGCCTGCAACACGCTTCGGAAGGCCGGAGGACTGCCGAGCCTTCTGAGAAGGCCCGCCCCTTCTCGCCTCCCCCCCGCTCGGTCGACGCCGATGTTTGGCGCTCCTTTTGGCAGCGCCGTGACTGCCAAAGGGAAAGGGGTGGGCCCATGGCTGGCAGTTGCTTCCGGCACCGCCGCCTAGCGCCTGCCGCGACGCACCAGCGCCTCGCGGCGCCGGGAAGACCAGCTGCGCCATTCGATCCCCGCGCCCAGGGGGAGGACGGAGGAGGAGGAGGAGGAGGAGGAGGCAAAGGAGGAGGAGGAGGAGGAGGAGGAGGAGGAAAAAGAGGAGGAGGAGGAAAAAGAGGAGGAGGAGGAGGAGGAGGAGGAGGAGGTGGAGGTGGAGAAAGAAAAGGAGGACGAGGAGGAGGAACAGGAGGAGGAGGAGGAGAAGGAGGGGGGGGGGGGGGCATCCGCCCTGTAGGGGAAGGGGGCAGTCCAGGAGGCCCTCGACATGCACGGTCAAGGCGCTGAAAGAAGGGCCGCCTTGGATTCGGAAGAGGCGCGCCGTGCCTCGGGCCGCTGCGTGGTTGCTCCTCTGGCCCTCCCCGTGTTTCCCTGGGGCCAGCTGTTCGTGCTCAGTCTGTTGCTGACCGTCCCGAGGCCCCGTGAGGGCCCCCAGGTGCCGAGCACGGCCCAGACCCCGGCGCTCCATTTCTGGGGAGCGACTGGTCTTTGGGTTGTTTTCCCCCACGGTTGTCCAACCAGATTCCGAAGCGCTTCAGGGAGGCCCCCCAGAGCCCTTCAGGAAAGCGTTCCAGCTACCGGAGTGCCTCTTTGCTCTCCGGGTTTTGGACGATACCAAGTTTCCCCCCACGGTTGTCCAACCAGACAGTCCAGCTCCCCGTGGGCCGCGGCTCTTTCTCTTCCGGCCCCCCGAGAGACGGGACTGGCCCCGAGAAGCTTTCCAGGATCGGGCCCGCGCAGGGCTTGTGCCCAGAGACCTCCAGAGGAGCACGGGAATGTAGAGTCCAGGGGGGGAGGAGGAAGGAGGAAGGAGGAAGGAGGGAGGAGGAAGGAGGAAGGAGGGAGGAAGGAGGAGGAGGAGGAGGAAGATGAAGGAAGGAAGGAGGTAGAGGAGGACTGAATTGGATTGGTCCTCCAGAGGAGGGTGCGGTGGCCCCACACGTGGCCGCCTCTCCGTGGGGGGGCGCCAGGCTCCCGGGGGGGGGGGACCGTGCGCGACCCCACGGCGACCCGGCCAGAGCCTGCAGTGGCATTCTGGGGCGGGGGGAGAGGATGGAGTGGGACATCAGCCTCCGCTCCGTCCAGATCCACCTCAACCCCAGACCCCCGACGTCGTGATTTTTTCACGACGTCGACCCCCAGAGGTCTGGACCCTTTCCCCGGGACCGGTTTTTCGTTCTGAGTCGTTTTTTGACGCTCCCGAGGCCCGGTGAGGGCCCCCAGAGGCCGAAAATAGCGAAAAGCCTCTCGTCGTGTTTTTTTTACAACGCGAGGAGGTCTGGGACCACAGGATGTCGCGGGCCGAGCGACGGCCGAGCCGCAGGAGCGAGAGCCGGCCAATCGGGGGGGGGCCAGGAAGGCCTCTCTGCGCTCGGAGCTCGTGCACGACCCTTCGACGGAGGTATCTGCCATCGCATGGTGCAGGTGCGAGGCTCGGCGTCGGAGGGAAGGGGGGCAGAGCCATTCCCGTGGGGAGGGGGCAGTCCTGTTTGGCCTCGACGAGCGCCTGGTCCAGCCCCGCCCTCCAGCAACGGATGGGGGGAGGGGAGGAGGGACGCAGGCAGGGAGGAGGAGGAGGAGGAGGAGGAGGAGGAGGAGGAGA